ACTACTTACTTACTACTTACTTACTTACTTACTTACTTACTTACTTACTTACTTACTTACTTACTTACTTACTTACTTACTTACTTACTTACTTACTTACTTACTTACTTACTTACTTACTTACTTACTTACTTACTTACTTACTTACTTACTTACTTACTTACTTACTTACTTACTTACTTACTTACTTACTTACTTACTTACTTACTTACTTACTTACTTACTTACTTACTTACTTACTTACTTACTTACTTACTTACTTACTTACTTACTTACTTACTTACTTACTTACTTACTTACTTACTTACTTACTTACTTACTTACTTACTTACTTACTTACTTACTTACTTACTTACTTACTTACTTACTTACTTACTTACTTACTTACTTACTTACTTACTTACTTACTTACTTACTTACTTACTTACTTACTTACTTACTTACTTACTTACTTACTTACTTACTTACTTACTTACTTACTTACTTACTTACTTACTTACTTACTTACTTACTTACTTACTTACTTACTTACTTACTTACTTACTTACTTACTTACTTACTTACTTACTTACTTACTTACTTACTTACTTACTTACTTACTTACTTACTTACTTACTTACTTACTTACTTACTTACTTACTTACTTACTTACTTACTTACTTACTTACTTACTTACTTACTTACTTACTTACTTACTTACTTACTTACTTACTTACTTACTTACTTACTTACTTACTTACTTACTTACTTACTTACTTACTTACTTACTTACTTACTTACTTACTTACTTACTTACTTACTTACTTACTTACTTACTTACTTACTTACTTACTTACTTACTTACTTACTTACTTACTTACTTACTTACTTACTTACTTACTTACTTACTTACTTACTTACTTACTTACTTACTTACTTACTTACTTACTTACTTACTTACTTACTTACTTACTTACTTACTTACTTACTTACTTACTTACTTACTTACTTACTTACTTACTTACTTACTTACTTACTTACTTACTTACTTACTTACTTACTTACTTACTTATGCCTGTTACTCCCAATGGAGCATAGGCCGCTGACCAGCATTCTCCAACCACTCTGTCTTGGGCCTTCTTTTCTAGTTTCATCCAATTCTTGTTCATTTCTTTCATGTCTATCTCCATTTCCCGGCGTAATGTGTTCTTTGGTCTTCCTCTTTTCCTTTTGCCTTGAGGATTCCAGGTTAGGGCTTGTCTTTTGACACAGTTGGGTGCGTTCTTCAATGTGTGTCCTATCCACTTCCATTGCTTCTTCCTGATTTCTTCCTCCACTGGGATCTGGTTTGTTCTCTCCCACAGTACGTTGTTGCTAATAGTGTCCGGCCAACGGATCCGAAGTATTTTGCGTAGACAACTGTTAATAAACACTTGTATCTTCTGGATGATGGCTTTCGTAGTTTTCCATGTTTCTGCCCCATACAGTAGAACTGTCTAGACATTTGAATACCAACATACATCTTAATTCTTAGTTCTTTAACTAATTTCATTGTTGATGAGAATTACCGCGAAAAAAAGACTTTTTTCTTCACTACTATTCACCATAATTGTTGATCTTTCTTTTTCTTTTTCTTTTTCTTCGACTTTCTTGTCATGTGGGAAATGTTCATGGTTATTACATTTGGAAAGAAATTTTCTATTTAATCTCAATTATACAAGTTATTTATATCTTGATGTATATCATTATATCACAGCATGATATTATTCTAATTGTACTAGTTTTTCACTTAGAAACAACCTCATGATTTAAAGTGATCTGTCGTTTTTTTTCCCACCCTTGTTTCTATGAATGAAAATGTTTTTTTTCCAAACTGTTTACTTCATTATTACTATTATCATTCTCTTGTGAATGTTTCTTTCTTTCTATCTTAGTTGTTGATCCTCCAAATATGACTGATTTAGATAGTCCTGGTCCTGTATTCGGTGCTTCATTAGAATCTCAGTTAGAAAGTCCTGATTATCCAGTAAGTTTTTTTAAAATTATTTATCATTAATACTAAATTTGTGCGTATGGTTGTATATTACCTGGTCGCATAAACTGAAATAGATGGTTTTCCGAGGTATAGTTGCTCTTGCAACTTTTCACCGAATGGTTGGATTCAAAATTTAGTGGGATAGCGGTTGGCGATACAATCTCATGGTGATAAATAGTGAATAAAATAGATTCAAATATCAATTGTTCTTTCATTGTCTTGTATCTCATTTAATTCATTGGTGTAAAATATGGGTCTCCTTTGGACGGATCCTTTCTATCCACCAGCCTTGCTTAGGCACCGCAGTTCGTTATTTGTGCTTTCATTTTCTTAAAAACATAACTTCTATATAATGGCATTGAATAGAACTTCCCTAGCTATAGACATATGATCTTCGGAAAGTATTGGAGAAGGAGAATTATCTTTAACAGACGAAGTTTACAAAAAGTCTTTGATAATGATAAATAACATTTTCAATTCTTATTTATATGTCCTCTCCATCGTTTTCGGATTAAATCAAGATCCTTGTATACTTACCAGTCAATAATATTTTCAACAAAAATCCATTTATGTGCACTATCAGTCGATGGGAATTTTAATACGAACATACAAAAGTCAACAATTCTAGTATTCCAACTTGCTTTTTTAAATAAAATCTAGTGTTTTTAAAAACATTTGTTCCTTTATATCATAGTAAGTATTATCAGCCAGTCAGTCAGCTACAACATAGGACTAGGCACATATATCCATCGGTCCAAGTTGCCACACCTCATTAGCACAAGATGAACACCAATTGCATAGAAGTAGTCACTTCAATGATACTAATGTATACAAGAAAGATTGTGTATAAGGATATAGTAGAGGAAGAAAGAATTAGTTCGTAGAAAGATATGAAGCGATTTTAATCTCACTGTTTAAGGGAAGACAATTAGTGTATACACTTATACAATGTCACCCAGAGTCTCCAACCATTGGTTACGATAGTCACGCGAACCCCAACCAAGTAGTCTGAATCTACCACCAACATGGCTCCGACTAGAAGTTAGTGACTTCAAGGACTAATGCCACGTATTATCAAGTAATGAAATGCCAAGAAAATGTAATCAACATTCTTTGTTTCTTCTTCATGTATTTTTTAGTGTGTTCCAGTCCTGTTACAAGCTATTGTCATAGCCTTAGAGATACATGGACTTAATTTACCTGGTCTGTATAGAAAACCTGGTCGACATCGTACAATTGCGCAATTTGTCTCTTCAGTAAACCTGGTACGTGTCACCCTTGTTATTATTATTATTATTATTATATATTTCTGTATTCTACTTTTAAATTGGATCATTTTTCTCTTAAAGAAATGAATCTGTTATGATTCTGATTTGCTGAACCAATTTTAATTATAGGAAGCATTCTACATTTCTCTTTTCTGGTAGATTTTACAATATAAGAATGTTGTCTACGCTACTTTGATCAGTTAGTCTCTTATTATCATGTATGAAATGAAAGAAAATAACATCTAGGCCAATATTGTTAATCAGAATATGTTGTGACTAACGAAAATTGTCATTTATTCAAATGAATATTATAGAATGCTGAACGTTTGATACTATGTAGTCGAGTTGAGCCGACTTATCAAGAGACTAATTTATTCACTTAATCTCTCAATGAGATCTTGTCAAAGATCATGACCACTATTAGCCTAGTAGAATACACTAATTTTTCCTTAGAGTAATCTAAAGATAATTAGATATCACAGACAAGCGGATAATAACAACTGTTGGTTGCTCAGTAATATCTATCCTATCAGAATATTTTCTAGCATTCATGTTGTAAAGTTATGTAATACCATTGGTAAATAGTAATTAATATGTATAAAATGAAAGGCTTTTGCATAATAATTTCATATTAGAGTGATTTGAACTGTCACATGTGACAATCGCTAATATCCGTAGTGAAATTTATTGGCAGAAATTGAACCCACAAATGCACTGGTGTAGTTGATGTTGGGGTTAGTCCACTCTCCTCCCTCTTTGAATATTCTCATATGGTTATGTGTATAAAGCCACTACCAGGGAAGTCCCACTCATCGCCTTTTCGTGGCTATGATGTTGTTTGCCTGATGGAGATGACGAAAAGAGTATATTCCACGGGAACGTAGACAGTGTTGGTGTGTACGGAGGATCTACCTAGAGGGAGTTAGAAAATTCTGATTGCAGACCAATTTTGCACTTGTGTTCCAGGTACCGAAGTTTTATTTTCATCCTCACTTCCATAGCATTTTATAAATTCATGGGGCTGGTAAAGCCTTTCAAAAGAGAGGGAGAGAGATATGATTCACTCAATTCTCAGTCTTACCATAGGACTTGTGAGCCTACTATATGCTAGTAGAGTTAATTGATCTTATATTTTTTCTCCTATAGTCATTCATTTCCTAGTTTGGTCAAAGAAACTTCGAAGTATATATATTTTTAAATGTATACATTTCTTTCGTTTCACAATTCTCTAAAGATTTCAATTAATTAAACCATTGTTTAGACGATTTAGATGACTTCTAGTTATCAGACAACATTTTTATAATCTATCCTAATTAATATTTCCCATCTGGATTGTTCCGTTACAGTAATAATATGTATTATGTAGGTTTTTTCACAACCACTCGTTGATTCCTATTATATTGTGCTCAAAAGTTCAAATCTCCTTCCATCTTGGCTGTCTTCTCTTATTTGTAAACTTTATCACAAATAACATTATTTTAAGTTTATGAATAAATTTCTCACTTTGTGTGGCATCAGTCCAAAAAGTCACTAACTTCTAGTCTGAGCCATGTTGGTAGATGCAGACTACTTGGATGGGGTCCGCGTGACTATTGTAACTAGTGGTTGGAGACTCTTGGTGACATGGCTCAGAATTGATCACAATGGCGTCGGTGTATACACTCTCTGTTTTCCCTTAAACAGTGAGATTAAAATCGCTTCATATGTTTCTTTCTACGAACTAATTCTTTCTTCCTCTGTTATATCCTTATATACAGTCTTTCCTTTATATATTACACCATTGTGTTAACTGCTTCTATGAGTTCGTCTTGCTGTGCTAATGAAGTGTGGCAACTTGGACCGACGGATATATGTGCTTAGTCCTACGTTGTAACTGACTGACTGTGTATTTGTATGCAATTTTTAGTTTAAAAGACATTCTTGTATGAAATACACTTTTTTAAGATTAACTATTCTCTTCTTCAATCGATTATTCTTTCTGTTCGAATTATATGACTTATAAAGAGTCTGATTCGTATACTAAAGTTATTTGATGATCAAATGCTTGTCTATAGTTTAATAGAAATAACACCAATAAAGTTCTGTTTATTTATTTTTAAAACATCCTGCTTTATTAACAATGAATTCAATCTCTTATATATATATAATAACCTACCATTAGTAACCTTTTTGTTTTGCTAGTTGTTCATATATATTACTTCATTATACATGTCTGTTGTTACATCAGAAAATTTCCATTTTTTCATCTTTTCAATAAAGCATCCTGAAGATATTGACTTGATGTTTAGTTTGGATGCTTGGCGTGAACCTAATGCATTATGCGGTTTATTTAAACATTTTCTTCGACGATTACCTGTTGGATTATTTTCTTTATGTGAGTGTGATTATTTAAATTTTTTTTTCGTGGAATTAAATTGATGTTTTCTTTTTGATTTTTTTTTTACAAATGTTCCTACCGGACCGCTTAAATGACTGAGGGTTAGTAAAGCCACTTTATTATAGTCATACCCAAAGAAGTTCTCACTATCTCCATGTGTGGATAGTATTTTTACGAAAAGTGAACGTGTGGTTGTTTTATTGATGTTGTAGATACGAGGCGTTCACATATGGGAGTTAGAAAACTGCTTCTAAACTAATAATGTACATGCACTCCAGAATCCTGAGGGGTTGAATGGCGTATGACCCTATTTTCGACTTTTAGTTGTCAAAGCACTATCTCTTTGCGTTATACTCTTGTAGACCTTTAGGTTAAAGGGTCGGGAGGATTGGCTATACCCAGAAAAGCCACTTGACTCAATTTGCGTCACCGGGAGGTATTCCAGTTCTCACATACCTATTATAATTATTTTGTGTGGCGTATATTATGTTTTGGTGCACAGTTGGGTTAGATTTTATATGAATTAAATAAATGAAAATCTTACTAAAGCAAATGAAATTTGCTAGAGTCGTTACGTATCAACCAGTGTTTAATGCAATCCCTCCTTTATGCTTAGTTTATATAACGTTGAGAGTTTACGAGTCACGAATGCATGAAATAAAACAACTAATAATAAATTTAAATATATTTGAATCGAATTAATGATTTAGAAACTGGGAAGGAAGAATATGATGAACACATATTGTACTTCAAGAGAATGATTCTAGTAGAGTTTTTGTTCTCTTTGAAGCTGGACAATCTAATCATGAAAACTCTATTAATTTTCTAAATGAAATCACCAGCTTCCTCCTTTCTGAAGTTTCTACAAATGATATTTACATAGATCATGAAAGTTTCACAGTTAAGCCTTTCATCCAAGATCAGCACATAACTCTAACAGAAGAATAAATTGGTTTCACTTTAATCAATAATTGAATGAACTAATTTATGTCTTGGCATTTTTAATCTCTCAAATTGTTTCATTTGTCTAATTATTGGTAACTAAGTAATATTGTAATAAATGAAAACCAATTTATTTTATATAATGCAAAATTATACTGTATTTGTAAAATATGGAAGCAATACATTAAACACACTGTTTGTCCATCTTCCTTGAGTTAACCTTTATGGTGTCTGTAATTCTTTCAATCCTGTTGTTTTTTGCGATTACTCTTTGCTTTATTTCTTGTCCTGTTCATTTCAATCTTCTGCTGGTAAACAGTTTCATTTCCTATTCCTGTTAGTATATACTACTTATATCTGTTCGTATAAGTAACACACACCACAATACAAAAAATTAACTTTAATTACTTGATTATAATAGCTAACTTCAGTTGGAATACTTACTTGATAAATTCAGACTGCCTTATTTAGTTAGGCGAGGTAATTTCTGTCAGTGGTTAAATATGTTGTATGAAAATATAATGATTAGAACTAGTTCCGATAACACATATCCATTCATGCTTCATCTTCTAACTTGTGAGTTTTTACATTTTTTCATACATATTAATCCTCTTATTTCACTCTTTTCTTTTAAAACTACGTTCTATATGTTCAGTTTTCACTACTATCATTAGTACTACTAAATTATTTCAAATTCTTTGTTAATTTGACCTCATTGTTCTACTATGGTTAAACCTAATAAAACTGATTCATAGGTGTACCAAGTCTTACGATGATGATTGTGAAAGAATGAATTAATAGAACATCAGAGTGAGTATCATAAAGTCCTCAAACATTTATTATTATTTTTTAAGTCTGGATACTGGGTACAATTTCATGGATCATTTGATCTTTCGCCTACTTTAACCTTGGCATAAATTGTTGTAGTTTGCAATGTGATATTAGTTTATTAAGTTGAATTATATATAGTCTGAGAAGAGAATTTCTCGGTAGTTAGACTCAGATTATACAGTTATTGTAAATCATGAAGCATTGGACAGCTGTTTACTCCTAATATAGGGCTTGTCAATAGTATACATACAGGATTCTACCATGAATCTTCCGTTTCATATGAGTATCCTTAATTTCTTGGTAACTGAGCTAGTATTTGAATTCCCCTTTATTTCATCAACAGTTATTTTGAGGTATATCTTCTTGTAGTCGATTAATTATCGTAACTATTTATACAGGATAATATTCCAATGTACTGTTATTGATTAACATATTGTATTTTATTGAAATGAACTATTATGCTTGTATACACTTATCAGATAACAATAAACAGATTTACATGTTGTTGTTGTTGTTGTTTATGATTAGTTTTTAACTGTCATACAACTTCTTAAATCCTTATGATCTTTATCAACAACCAATTGTTATCACATGGTTCATTATGTTGTTATGATGTGTAATTTCTATAACTTAAACAAACAAGATCATTTTAGCACTAAAATTTCAATGTGCTTTTTTGTTGTTGTTGTTGTTGTTGAAACACTTCATTCCGTTTACTGGAAACTTCTAACTTTCTTTTTCTTGGCAACATTAAAGTAATTCGTTTCCTTTTTTTGTCAAAGTCAAATAGAGTTGGAAAAACAACAAGAATCTAGATTGATAGATGTATTAATAATATATATATATATATAAAGCATAAATCAATATAATTTGAGAACAGAGATTGAGTTAGTACAATGAAGGAAACATATGATAACTTTTAAACTCAAGATCTATGAGGAATACAATCATTGAATGTATCGTTGCCTTTAAGACTAATTCCTGTTTATTTATTTGAACACGACGGGGCACCAAATACATATAAAGCTACACAATAACAATGAGGCCAGTAGTAGATATCATTGATTTATGTAAGGGCTGTGATACTATTTGAGTGCTCAAATCGAAGCAGGTGATTTCCTTAGAGGGCTGCACCCTAATCCTTCGATCTAATAGTCTAATCCACGTGACTGTGAAACTATGTTAGGAGATGTAGTCCTATAGTAGCCAGTCATCAACAATAAGTTCAAACACCATTCGTTCCCTCAGGATCATGGAGCCCATGTACACTATTGGCTTGGAATCGGGGTTTACTAACTCCGTTATGTAGATCCTCCATCATACCTATCAACTCGGTTTAGGCCCCGACCAGATATTCGATCTTCGTCCTCTCAGTTTCCTAAACAACACTCGTGGTGTGAGAAGTCAGTGAGTAGGACTTCCTTGACAGTATCTGTATCCACGTGTTCATGTGGAAACATTTGTAGATGGAGAGCTAACTCTCCTCACCCTCAGCTGTACCAAGGCATTTGAGGACAAGACTGATTCTGACTCATGTTACTCGACAGTTTTCCAAATTTGTTTTTGTTTGAGATCATGAACCGGTTGATGTTAGACCACCATAAAAACCTGGAAGCACTGGACGACAGCTTCGTCCTATTGTGGGAGTCCTCAGCAGTGGGCATTCACGATTCCGCCTGCGGGATTCGAGCCCAGGGCCTTTAGTCTCCCCGGATCAGCGGTCTAGTGGTTAATCGCTCGCGTGCGAGACCGAAGGACCTGGATCGGAACCCCGCGAGAGAGATCGTGGATGCGCACTGCTGAGGAGTCCCACAATAACATGGAACGGCCGTTTATTGCTTCCAGGTTTTACATGGTGGTCTAGCTTCAATTGACTCATGATCTCGACTATTAAAATTATCTGATTATAGATCCATTTTTTACAGTCAGACTAACATCACGATAGCGCCAAAATGGTAGAAATCGGCATGAGCCACTCTGGCTTTCACTATACATGAGTCGTCCTCATCTTTCATGCCATCACCGGCACTTACACAGATACCGAAATAAACGAATTTCTGGACTATATCTGTCTACTCACTACCCGCAGTATGTACATGTTCAGGTTCCTATCAGTCTTGTAAAAGTACTTTTCACTTAGAAGATGCAAGGCACATAACATACTTACAGATACTGAGTCATGTTTGTTGATACAGTTTATTGAGTTTAGATCGTTATAATCATTAAGTGATTGAAGACTTTGTGTGTAATGTTTCAAAATCAATTCAAATGGTAGATACATTCACTTTTTTTTAATACCTTCCTCTAAATCTTCATTCCGATTATCCTTTCAAGCATATTACTTCATTCCATCTCAAACTTTATTTTCAATATTCAACATTTCTCATTAATGATTGTTTTAATCAATTAACAGTTGGATACCAATCTTTGCATTGATTATCACTAAGTGATTTACTTCATAACCATTTTATTAATTATCAAATAAAACATGTTTTAACATGGTTATATTACAATATTATTGAAATAAATTACTAATTCAAATGACATGTATTATGTCATACTTTAAGATAACAATGCGGGTTAATCTGGTTTTCTTTAATCTGATTCGTATCATTTTAGCTAATTCAATGATAATAATAATAATAATAATAATAATAATAATAATAATAATAATAATAATCTTGTATCCATGTATACATGTATAATGTGTCTATTTACCAAGTTCTCTAACATATATTGTATATTACTACTACTACTACTACTATTACTACTATTATATTATTGTTTGAAGAAAATAACCATATATAGTTATTTGTTATGTACACATACATTCTACATTCTTATGTTACATAGTTAATTAGTATATAATTAAGAAAAACAAATGAGCATGAAATTGAAAGGCTAGATGACTTCCAGAATTGATTAGTAAATTTATATTGATTGTTCTCTTCATTTAAGTTGGTTAACATTAATGTATAGTTTCATGAGATCATGTGAATTAAGTAAGTAATTTCATTAATCACTTCCATTAGTTTAAAAACTATCTTCCGATATGTTTGATTAGTGTTACTACAAAATTTTGACGTGTATATGCATATGTTTAAACTTTTTTAGTTTCTTCTCGACTTATACCGCTCCTAAATGCCCTGGTATGGCCGAGAGTGGAGTGGGCCCTCCCTCCCTCTCGAAATGCTCTCCCACGGCCACGCGTATACAGCCTGCGCCAGAAAAGTCCTACTGACTGCCTTTTAGTGGCGGGGGTGCTGTTTACGAAAATGAGAGGACGAAAAGCGAGTGTCCAGCGCTTTAACCGGATCCCAAACCAAACCAATGGTGCACATGGGCTCCAGTATCCTGCGAGAACAAATGGCGTATGAACCAATCGTTGGTCACCGGCTACCATGGGACTGCATCTCTTCGCGATGCTCCACTGCCTTGTGGGTCAGACCTTCGGGTCGAAGGCTCGGGGTGTGGCCCCGTAAGAAAACCACCTGTTTCGGTGTGGGCACCCAGGCAGTATCACAACACACACACAAATATGGTGTGGCGTATATGTATTTAGTGCCTCCTTGTACCAATATTTGTGTTCAAATAAATAATAATAAATATACTGTTTTCGATACATGCAAAATATTCATATTTTCCTGAAAAGTCACTGAAGCTCTATGTGATTCACAGTTTTTGAGTTTGAAAAGCTTGTAGTTTTTACGATTTCTCAGGTTCAAATTCATATATTTGGTTTTGTCTCACATTCTGTGCAACACTATTCGTTTACATAAACCGAATTATAGGAAGTGTATTTTGTATCTGAGATTAAGTAGCTGAAAGTTGAGCGCGTTAACCACGATTAGTTTATGAGTTGTGAATTTCCTCATTCTTTGTTTTCTACAATATCAACACCTTGAATGTACATCTAATTGAATTGGAATTAGTGTGTTTAATTGACCAATTGACTTTAATAATTATTGTCACAAATATACAGTTCAATAAAATCTTAATTTTCATCAATCAAACTACATCATTTATAAAGACAATTGTAAGGATCTACTTTCTGTATGATTGAATATTTCGTAGAAATAAATAACATGTCAAACTATCTTATAACGGTCTCTATTATTCATTGAATGTAGTACTATAGTGATTATGTTATCATGAAATTATTATTATAAATTACTAAGTTATTACTTAATCGTATCTCCTCAACACCAATTCACCAGAATTTGTCTATTATTTTATGATTTAATTTTAGAATATTATCAAAACATTTTGTTTCATTTTATTATGATTACAAACTAGTTGTCATGTATTTTTACAATCATTTTCGAATAAGCTTTTTACCTTGATCATCTTGTGGGGAAGTACTGACTTCACGAATCATTTAACCTTCTTAATAGTAGAAAGTTTATGTATAGATTGGATTGGTTGCAAAATCTATTGAAATTTACTCAGATCTTAGAGGGAGCTTGAATGACCCTGACGGGTTCAACATTCCAATCGGCCATCCAAAAGGTAACAAACATATATGAATGATTTATGATTAATATTTATCATCACAATAAAGATTACAGTTTAGAATTAGGTTTTAGTGTTAGAAAAAGAGTTGAGATTAGAATGTTAAATTTGCGGTTATAGTTTGGATTATAATATTCATAACCACAGTTGTAATTTATTTTGGTTCATGTTGAGGATTGAGTTTCACAGTTAGCACATATATATATCTTAACCATTAAGTTCTTACTCTAAATCTAACTTTTAGACTCTACTTCCTAAATTGTAATCCCTACTTTCATTATGTAATTATGTTTTCGTCAATAAAACTAATCATCTATATATTTCATAGAGAACATTTTGTTTTAGTGTTTGTGCCGCAACCTTTAGCTGTCTTATCCCTTTCTTGATTTACTCAGCTTCATCAAATTTGGGGTTTATTGTTGAATGATCTTGACTTATAGATGAATTTGTACTTGCGTGTACATTTTTGGAAGATGATTCATTTAATCTGAATTAAAACCTAATTTAATTGTGCTTTTCTTCTGTCAACTATTCTTTCTTCCAGCCTCTTGGGAGCCACTTTCTGTCTTGTCCCAGAAATTGGGAATTCTTCCGATATGAAACAATTAGCCTATCTATTACTTTCTATTCGTGTTCAATTGAAAAAAATGGCATTTGATGTAAGTTCTATGTAGTTTGTCATGAATTGTTTTGTGTTATCTGATTGTTAACACTAAATGAACAATGCACTTATTGTGTCTGCATATCGTTTACCTTCAAAAATACTGTTTTTCTTTGAAGTAATTATTGAGAAACATTAAAAATTTCACCATCGTGGTTCATATATCTTCATTCTTCTTCTTCTTCTTCTTCTTCTTCTTCTTCTTCTTCTTCTTCTTCTTCTTCTTCTTCTTCTTCTTCTTCCTCTTCCTCTTCCTCTTCTTCTTCTTCTTCTTCTTCTTCTTCTTCTTCTTCTTCTTCTGTCGTTTAAAGGGATGCAGGGGGTGTTCATCATATAATGCATAAATAATATGATTGGCTATGGAAAGCGATATTATAAAGTCAAGAATAGTTGTAAACATTTACGGATAACTATGACTATGTTAGTGATCACTGTTTTGAAGATATTATACTATTGTGACTTTTGACCTGTTTGCTATCATGTGATAAGATCGCCAACTATATGAACTTGGCAGTGTGCCAAACCAATGACGCATGAACTGGTACGAGCAACCTCGAGTCAACTCTAAGTCCTTATTGGTCCTTCTCGCCTAGTCCTACCTAATTGAGTCCACAACACAATCTCAGCTTCCACTGTATGAATTGTGTATTTCGGAGATACTTGGTTTATGCATAAGCAACTAGACTACATCATACCATAAAATAGAAAATAGCAATGATACAAGATCAAACCAAAATTAGCTGTAATTAAAAATTGGGAATAACTCATGTGTGATAAATCGTATAATAATAGTCATTCATTTATTCTTCATTAGGATATAGCATACATTTAGTTTTTTTTTAATATTCACAAGTTAAATCCACATGGTACGGGAATTTCGTTGCTATTTCGCACATTTTGTGATGAGAATATTTTATTGTAATCGGATATATAGTAGTGTTCAAAAAAGAAATCATCATGGTTTGTACTTTTTCTATGCATTTTGTTTTAGGCTTTTGGTATTCCAACTATGAACACAATGCCTGTAGATAATCCTTCCTCTCCGACTAATGGCTCTAATGAATATCAATTTAGCGGAGTGAATTCCACCAGAGACCATCTATTCAAACCATCTATATCTCCACCTATATCTCCTCAGACTGCTGTCGTCCCATCGAATACATCCCACTTACAACTCAAAGAGGATTTCAGTTTAATGAAAATGAGTAATTTTAACGAAAAGGAGTTCAACATCTCTAAACAATCATTTCGTGTTTGGCGTTGGGCTACATTATGCTTTATCATGAATCATATAACAAGAGTTGTAGCGCATGAACATCATAATGCAGTGACCTATCAATGTATAGCTATATGTTTCGGTCCTGTTTTCTTTGGAAACTCATCAAAACTTCCAAAATTAAATGAGGTGTGTATTTACTACTGAACTTTCTTTTTAAGTAGCTATACAAATGTTAACGATTGAAAATTTTTCTAGGCACCATAAACCATGAAGCTTATCATGCATTGTATAGGTTGGAAAATTCAATGACCATACAATTTTTGTCAGTGGTAATCACACAAACTACATATTTCATTCACCTTAGCCATGGTTGAAGTGTAATTCAGCAATATTTGATAACCTAACATTTACCGTTTCACTTAATCACTACACTGAGTGAGATATGATTTATTTCATGTATATTTAGTCGTTTATTGCTAATCAAATCACAGTATTTCTTCTAGTCTAAATGAATTGACATCACATATAGTACGTGAAGTTGTTTGTTGTTGTTGGTGGTAGGTCAGTAGCAAAACTTTGTTTTACCTATATTTCTCACCAGTTTGCTGTCCATTTAGGTAGTTTGTAGCTAAGTTGTATTATTTTTGTTCAGAATAGACTTATGAAGTTTTGTTCACCTATTATATAATACGTTTTTGAATATTTAAAAAGATTTAATCATTACGTTGTACCGTATCATTTTCACTCATCGGTCTAAGAAGTTATGGACTGAGGATCTAAGTTATATGGGTGAATGCAAATTACCCGTTTTATTGTTTGTGCAATAACCGCAATAAGTGCTTGGAGATATATAGGTGATATGACTCAGAATCGGTCACAACAACCCAGATTTATTCCCTCTTTATCAGTCAGTCAAACGCAATATAGAGCCTGGGACATGAGTAGTACAGTCCAAGTTGTCATACTCTTTCAATATAGCGAGGTGAAACTGTTAGGATAAATCCTAGAGTAGTAAAAGTAGTAACAGAACATGTTAGACATCTAAGATACAACTTCAGAAAATTTAATTATGAGAAATAAGATTAGAAACAGTTATGAGTAATTTAGAAACTTAGGATTTAGAGAAGAACAAAGAGTTAATACAACTACTACACTATGATCGATTCTGATCCTTATCATCAAAAGTCTAACCATTGATTACGGTGATCACTTGACCCCAAACAGGTAGTCTACACCTACCTTCATAACTCACTTCACTTGTCGATGTTTTTACGTGTTGGTTTTCTTTCAACCAACTACTTTTATATCGATCTTCACTTTTGGTCGAGGTAGTCATACTACTAATCTCATGTTCCAATATTCCTTTTCATTGTTGTTTCGGATCATATCCTCAATATTTAAGCTTTCTTATTATCACTACTACTGTGGTGGGTGATACGTATATCGACAGACAGTGCGCTACAGACTCAACATTTTTACAGGGTGTGTGGTACAGACTGCGGTAAAGAAGAAGGTGGCACCGCGAGCAGAACAATCACAAGAGGGACAGCTTAAATTAGGGACGAGTGTGGTGCATGCTACTTATGTCAACAGACATAAGCAATATGTAACACCAGTTGGAAGTGGAAAACCTGGCAACAGAAGGCTAAGGAGATCGAGTTGAAGAGAATAGAAGGGAAAATAGGAAGGAATTATGAACTGGAAGAATTATACAGAATGTACAGGACAAATGGTGGAAATTTACAAATGAAGTGCTCAGTGTATGGTTCTCATATCTTACCAAGATATTCTATAATTTTGTATTTAAAAAAAACATTGGTCGTCCCTACTTGAGTGTTCGTTTACAACACTACTACTACTTCCATTATTTGAACACTTTTACTACCCATCTTGTTAATTTTATCTCATCATCTCGATGTATTTTGACAGCTTTGAAGCCATTACATGGCTCTACATTAATGTTAACCGACACGTACATTTTCAATCGGTTGGTTAGTCTATTTGAATATAGTAATGATTATTACTATCCTATTTTTAACTTGTTATAGGTTCTTGAACATTTATTTCGACATTGGAAATGGCTTATTGACAGTTTACCAATGATTACAAAGAATCCTATCACAAATATCGATTTCAGTACAATAAATGAACCAACTTTAATGGATGCTATTACTTATTTAACTGCTACTGACAAGTCTAATCAACAAAAGAAACCAATTCTTCGAGATCATAATAATAATCATATTCAAAGATTAGATTCAATACATGAACCAATAAATAATGATACATTATTGTCTTCATCTTCTATTTTTTCTTCGGCACGACGTAAATCTACCGATGTTACTCTTAGTCAACAATCTTCTATATCATCATCTGAACAAGAACAACAACTCACTGTTGATTATGACTTGACTGTTAAGAAGTTTGACAATGAAGATGAATTGAATAAAGGTGAGTAACTGTTGTGCATTCATGTCTATCTGTGTATATTTATTTATTATTTATTATTTATATAAACACATAAGCACTGACACAAGGTCAGTCAGTCAGCTACAACGTAGGACCAGGCACATATATCCGTCGGTCCAAGTTGCCACACCTCATTAGCACAGCAAGATCGACACCGGATTCATAGGAGTTGTTAAGTCAATGGTGTTGATATATAAAAGAAAGATTGCATATAAGGATATAGTACAGGAAGAAAGAACTAGTTCGTAGAAAGAAAGATATGAAGCGATTTTAATCTCACGGTTTAAGGGAAGACAGTAAGTGTATACACCGACGCCATTGTGATCAATTCTGAGCCATGTCACCAAGAGTCTCCTACCAATGGTTACGATAGTCACGTGGACCCCAACCAAGTAGTCTGCATCCACCAACATGGCTCAGACTAGAAGTTAGTGACTACAAGCACTGATGCCACGTTTTCGTTTGGCCGCCCCTAACCTTCTTCCAACCATCTCCAACACCGGTTAGCATTGCACGTCGTGGTAATCGGTGTTCGGGCATACGTAACACGTGACCCAACCATCTCAGTCGATGAAGATTCACAACCTCATCAACTGATAACCATCATTCCGTAATACCCTGTGTCGAACCTCATTATTACTTACCCGGTGATCCCAACAGACGCCAGAAATATTCCTAAGGCATCTGTGGTCAAATATCAGTAGCTTACGAATGTCTTCTACTCTTAATGGCCATGTTTCTCTGCCGTAAAGTAAAACAGAACGGACTGCCGCGCAGTATACTCGTCCTTTTATAGATAGACGGATATCTCGCCTTCGCCATACGCGACGGAAGTTGGCGAAAGCTAAACGAGCTTTTCGAATCCGTGTTGAATTTTCGTCCGATACCAACCCATTAGGGCTGATCAGACTTCCGAGATAAGTGAAGTTGTCAACGCGTTCGACTACTTCACTCCCTATCCTTAGTTCAGGTGTTAACGCAGACCAGTCCTGAAGCAACAACTTGCATTTAGAGGAAGGGAAGCGCATTCCAAACATTCTGGCATTGTTGCTCAGTGCTACCAGAAGACTCTGCATTTTATCAGCGTCTTCACCAAACAGGACTATGTCATCTGCGCATTCTAATTCGATTGGTGGACCTCCTGGAAAGAAATCAGTCGGCGCAAATGTTATTTACAGCAGTAGGTTTATGATGAGGGTGAACAAAAATGGAGAAAGTGGACAGCCTTGTCGGACACCACTTGAGGTTGCAAAATCAGATGGCAGTTCGCCATACGCTCTGATTCGGCTAGTAGTGTTCGAGTAAAGAGCCTTCACAAGGTTTATGTACTTCTGAGGTACGCCTTTCAATGACAGACACTGCCACAGAGTCTCGCGGTCTGCCGAGTCAAATGCTGCTTTTAAATCAAGAAAGACTACCATTGTCGGACGTCGATAATTATGCTTGTGTTCTAGAAACTGACGAATGGTGAATATGTGGTCGATGCAGCCACGACCAGGTCTGAAGCCAGCCTGATTTTCTCGTGCTTGCAGTCCACGGGTCTTAGTTAGGCGTCCGATAATTATCGAGACTAGTATTTTAGATACTATATTAGTTAAACTAATCCCTCCATGGTTGTCACAGGATGATTTTGACCCTTTCTTATATATTGGGACGATAAGTGACTGTGACCAGTCAGATGGGATAACGTCCAACTCCCAGATTTTAGCTAAAATAGTAGTCAACCTAATCGCTAAAATTGGACCACCATCCTTAAAGACCTCTGGGGTCAATCCATTTGGACCAGCTGCCCTTCCTCGTTTCAGATTAACTATAGCCTTTTGAACTAATGCTAGAGTTGGGGGACCTACTTCAATGTTCCATTCACACTGTCTGGGAATGGAGGGTAATTGTAGAGTAGCTGAAGGCCAGTTGAACTGTTCTCTGAAATGTTTCGCCCATCATTCTAAACGTCTGGACTGAGAGCAGATGAGGGTGTCGTCTTTTTCCGAAATAGTCTGACTTACACTTGACTTATTAATTCCAGTTTCTTTTATTAGTCTGTAAAGCTGTCTTGTGTTCCCTATAGTCGCCGCCTTTTCCATCTCTTTTGCTTTCGTTGCCCACCACTGCTCACGGTCGTTTCTTAGACTTTTGCTTAACCTAGATCAGATTTGTTGTCGCTCTTCATCGTGTTCAGAGCCTGATGGGATGAGTTTACGAGAATTTATCAGTGCAATAAACCTAGAGGAAATCCACTGGTTCTTTGTAACTCTGTGGTTTAAGTCACTAACAGATGTCACTGCTGTTTCCACAGCTGTTTGTATAGCTTTCCAAGCAACATCTGGGTCAACCTCGTTTTCAGAACTACCTAATTGTGACATCAGTTGTTCCTGGAACACCTACTTTTGGTTTTCTCACTACTCAATTCAGTTCTAATGGGTCTTTTTACTGAGGCCTTTTTGCGTCCAGTGAGGCGCAAGCAGATGCGTGCTCGTATTAGGGCGTGGTCGGAGTCCAAGCAGGTACTCCAGAATGAGCGACAATCTTCTAGCGACCCTCTCCAACGATGACTGATGGCAATATGGTCTGTTTGAGTCCATCGTTGGTTTGGTGTAGGGGGTCGCCGTGTTAGACGATGTCTCTCCTTATGCTTAAAATTTGTGTTTGCTAAAATAAACGATTGTCTGAGCACAGTTGCAGCAGACGATAATCATTATCTGTTCGCAGTGCCGGAATACTAAAATACCCACCTAAATGCCTTTCTGTTTGGTTTAAACTACCTATCTGGGCATTAAAGTCACCTGCTACGAGTACTATGTCTGAACGCTTAGCTTTCTGTAAAATTCATCTTCCACTTCATCTGAGCTGCAGTCGGTGGGAGCGTAGGCAGGAACGACAAAAATGCAACGACGTGTGTCCCTATTTTTCCGAGTTCTTACGGAGCCGTTTAGCCGAACAGCACACAAACGGCTACGCTCACACCTGCCAGTCCACGAGAACTGGCCGTCGAGTCACCAGATACACGGAGGGTGTTTTATTTATTTATTTATTTTATTTGGACACATGAATATTGGTACAAGAGAGCGCCAATATATATGCGCCACACAAAACAATGAAAATTCGAGAGGAATACAAAGAAAGAAAAAAAAAGCTAAGGAGCGCAACAAAAAAAGAGAGAACAATAACGAAGAGATTGGTGTAAGGTAATGTGCTAGTAATCAGGGAACGCAAAGGTACAATCGGAAGAAATCTTTCAGGTAAGGGAGACACAACCACTTTTTATGAAGAAAGTAAAAGAAGGTTACAGCAGGATCGCCACTGGCTTCTATTCTGAGCCATATCTGATAACGTCTCTAGCCACTGTGTAGCACCATCTCTCAGACCCCAACCAGGGAGTCGTGAAGGACCAACACAAGCCAGTCCTTTGCAGCTTTCTTTCATGCCACGACACCATGTCATGCACTGACCACCTCTCCGCTTCTTCCAACCAGTCCCAGAGTCGGCAAATAATGCACGACGTGGAATTCTCTGGGACGACATTCGGAGAACATGTCCAAGCCACCGAAGTCGGTGTTTCAAGATGGTGACACCAATTGAATTATCATCTCTGTGCCCGAACACACGATGCCGAACCTCTGCATTACTGACATGGTGTTGCCACTGAATGTCAGCAATCCTTCGGAGACAGCGATGATCGAACACAGAGAGTCGTCTAACGTCCTCAACTCGGAGAGGCCAGGTTTCACAAGCATAGAGCAAAACTGCTCTCACCGACGCGTTGTAGATCCGACCTTTTACAGCCAGACTAACATCACGAAGGCGCCAAAGGTGGCCCAGATTGGCATAAGCCGCTCTGGCTTTCACTATACGTGCATTGATCTCATCACTCACACCCCCACCAGCACTTATGCAGCTACCCAGATACACGAACTTCTCGACTACGTCTATCTGCTCACCATCCAGGGTGAGTACAGGATTAGAATCCTGCCAGTCTTGTAGAAGTACTTTGCACTTCGAAGGTGCAAAGCACATACCATACCTACGGACACTGATTGCCAACTGATTAAGTGCGGATTGCATGCCTTGGGCATTATCGCACAGTAAGACAATATCGTCCGCATACTCAAGGTCGAGAAGTCTTTCTCCAGGCAACAGATCCACACCACCATTACTTACATTCATCAGAGCTGTTTCCAGAATGTCATCGATGGCAAAGTTGAAGAGGAATGGTGAGATTGGGCAACCCTGCCTAACCCCACTGCTCGAATGGAACAATGGAGAGAGGTGGTTGTATGCCCTCACTCTGCCTGAGGTGTTTTTATATAGGGCTTTTAGGATGTTAATAAACTTCTCAGGCACACCCTTCTTCAATAGACAATCCCAGAGAACAGTCCTGTCCAACGAATCGAAGGCAGCCCTGATGTCAAGAAACACTACGATTGTTGGCCTTTGATAAGTATGGCGGTGTTCTAACATTTGGCGGAGGGTGAAGATATGATCAATACATCCTCGACCAGAACGAAACCCAGCCTGCTCCTCGCGAGTCAATCTTTCTCGGGTTTTGAACAACCTACGAAGTATGACGGAAGCCAATAGCTTGGACGCAATCGGAAGTAGACTTATCCCCCGATAGTTGTTACAGGAACGACGTGAACCCTTTTTAAAGATAGGGACAACTATCGACTCATTCCATGACGTTGGTACACTCTCTAGTTCCCAAACCTTTGTAAACAACGTCGTCAATTCCTTAGTCAAAAAGTCACCACCATCTTTAAAAAGAGCCGGAGGTAAGTCATCTGGGCCAGGTGATTTGTAACGCTTCAAGAGTTGGAGTTCCTTGCGGACTTCCTCCTCGTTTGGTGGATCAGTCGTCACCGGCCATGGAGGGCAGGACAGTCTGACCGATGTTGCCGGAGCAGCAGGCCAGTTGAACTGCCCTTCGAAAAATTCTGCCCATCGTCCAAGACGTCGATGGATGTTAGTGATTGGCATCCCATCAT